TCATGTTGAAATATCTTGTTAAAATCATGATATAATACTGTATCTAACTTTTACCGTACTGTGTCTTTGTTGACTTGGTCTGTCTTACCTTAACTTTTCGCACCTCATTGGCCTGAAACTCTGTAGTACAGTTATGATGAATTATGCCAATCCCCCCCATCAGCTGAAAAGACCCAATCAGAAACAGAGGACAAAACAAACATGTTAAATATCATTAAAAGGTGGAAGACATTATTGTACATGCAAGAGACTGTGAATCGGAATGTTGTTAAACTGAGTGAACAGTTCGTTCTATGCTGTGTGTAAGGTTGGGCTGTTTACTCACTGCCATGGCGATGGCCATGGATGACTCTGTGACTGTATCCATGGGAGATGAAATGAGAGGAGTCTTCAGGGTTATCTTCCTCGTCAGTGCAGAGGTTAGATCCTAGAAATGTGGTGCATTTAGAAACTGAAACATCCTCTTGTGATCTTGTAACACTTTTAATCACATATAGCAAAGTGAGGCTAACATATAATATTGTTAAATGTTGAGTCCAGAGGTGTGTTTATTAATGCTGGAAGATGAATCAACAAGATTTTTTCTTTGTTACAACCATTGTCCTATAACGTAGCAGCTGCAGCACAAAGGCAACATGAAGATTGTTTTTATTTTGCCATGCAGTGATCTTAAAAACTAATTAGAACACATTAGAGGCTGACTATGAATCCACCTACTGACGCAGGTGTGTGGTTGTTTTGAACAACTATTTCCAGCTGTAAGCCATGAGACTGAGGCATGACATTAATTCAATGTCCCAGCAGAGCGAGCAAAGACGAAAACAAAGCCAGTCAAATAAACATCTGTGTGCTCAAGCACCCTTAACTAACGAACAAAGAAAAATAATCAGGGATTAATTATAGCAAAAAGAAAACTGACTGTGCCTGTGAGTTATGGTGAGGAATATGAAATAACAGCAAGCACTGGGATTTTATGAATAAGGTCAAGGACAAAAAGATGTTTTTAGCCAAAAGGAATCACACGACAGCAGAGCAGCAGCAGAGACACAATAGATGTAGAAACCAAACTTTGACCTCTTTAGCTTCAACAAATGTATTTGCCAAGAAAATATGCATATAGGAAACAGTGCACTGCATGTGGCCTATGATTTGTTGCACAGTGTGATGATACTTACCACCTCATCTGAGGTAAAATCTATGAAACCGGGGAGGATCAAAAAGTCACTGAGAGGAGAGAAAGACACAGGGTCAGAACATGAGAACATTTTAATTTGGAAGTGGAAAACTATTAGTGAAATTGAATGAATGAATCACCACTACTGTCAGTTACTCCTATAAACAAAACATATAGCTTTCATAGCATACTTGAACTGTATCATTTCCCAGTTATTTCAAACTTGGCTAATAGTGAGGAGACATAATGTAATCTGTCAGCCTCTCAACCCACCGCAACATTCTGCATTTATCCTCTGAACACTGATAAATCCTGCATATAGCCTCCATTAAGGAAACTACACTCATCACTCATTAGTGCACTAGATGCACACTCACACACTCATTCACACACTCACTCACTCACTCACAGACGCTGCTTTTAATGTCTGTGACACCACTCTGAGTCCTTGAAAGTCGTGTTATTTATTATAATCCTCCCCATAAAAAAAAACCAAGCAGATGTGTCATCACTGTTATTACTAAACATGTAATGGAACACGTTGTATAATTCCATGTGCATGTGCATATGTGTCATTCTTTGCACATGCATCGTTGTGAGTGTGTTATCAATGACTTCTTTTTTTTTTTAACAGCATTTCTTACTTGTATGTAAGTCCATCACCGATGGAAAAGAGCTGTTGTGCTGTTAATCCATCTTCAGGAACGTAACCTGTGCCTCCACTGATCAAGTAGTCCGCCATGCTGAAATATTTGAAAATACACACATGCACAAATATAAAATGCTTATTGCCCACAATGCCCAGTCTGAATATTGAATATATAACATGCATACATGTATATAACATCTGTCTATCTGAGTTTGCAAAGGTAAGACAGAATAGACACTCGTATTTCTATTTAATGTATTTTTCTTTTTACAGTTTTTTAACATTTTGCTGATTTATATACAAAATATTTCCTGTGATTTCAAGCAGCGTGCATAAATATAAGTCAATTGTCACTAAATTAAAAATAACATCTTCATTCAGCCATTTCTTGATATATTTATCTCTTGTGCAAAAGATGTTGTTTTGCTCATCACTCTCCTGACCTCTGTTTCTGACACACACACACACTGTGGCCAGATCCTATTACAAAGTTTGAGACAGGAAATGCTACTAAAAAAGAATTTGTCCTTGTCAAAGCAAACTCCTTCTCTACACTAATGACGGCAGTACAGCAGGTAAGAGGATTTGCCTGCCCAGGTAGCTGATAAATGGATAAAAGCACACAGCCAACGTTAGTAGACAAACATCAGAGAACATCCCACTTAGTTACAAGGTTTCAAACAGTCACTTCTGCAAATTAGAGATGGTCTGGTATGACGTTAGGGTCACAACCTTACAGGTGATCTGAATGGTGAGAGTGAGGCTGACCTTTCTGGTTCGTATCCGGCTTGGATTCGTGTAGCACTGTATCGCTGGGCCGCGGTCTCATGCCCATGTCCATGTGGTGATGGGTGGGCAAATGCCCCAAAAGGAGGAGGTTGTTCCCCATCTCTGTTTGAGATACGTGGCCGTGCTGGTTCCATGTCCCCTACAATCCTCCGGTAATCAATCTGGTAGTTGTCCCTCTCTCCATCTCCAAACCGGTCATAACAATGACCCTCCATCTCGAGGAAATCCAGGGTTACAACCTCCACAGGGCCCCACCACCTCACCCACACACACACACAAACACAGACACACACAGACTTCAAACACTTCTGACTGGTATCATACACATGAACAAAATCATACCCACTCACCCCAAGTAAACAGTGGACCCAGCAGCTCCCAACAGACACACACCAACACACGTAGATTGCTGTTTAATTACAAGCTCTCATAAACACCCAGTGCTTTGAGTGCATGTTCACACAAACACCTTTCAGACACACCTGACACCTGTTTTGTTGCCACCATTAAAACCAGCACTTAAATCAAAATGGCCCAAAATTCAAGACTTCACAAAGGTTTGCTGCAGTTTGCTCGCAGGTAAGGATAACTTGTAAGAAACAGGTGAAAACTTTTCAGTTCATTTTTCAAAAATCAGAAGCAGCAGCAGCAAAAATCAGCTAAATCAGTGTTGTTTTCCCAGAGGAGAGTTTGTATTCCAGCTTCTCAGCGCTCATCCTTGAAGGCCCTCAGGCAGGGTGATAGATGAGGAGTTAAGGTATCGTCACACACCAAGTGTAGTATTGTCTTCCCTGTATGTTCCCAAGCTGGAGGGTGGCATGAGCAGCCACTGGGGAACAGAGTTGGGTCCCAGAACGCTTGGTTATCCCTGAGGCTGGGAGCTTCTCTCCACTCCGTTCTCCTGGTGCCTGCTGAGCTTAACTCTGTTTCTGACAGTAGCAGACGTCACTCTCCCACAAAGAGGATTGGAAGCATTAATACAGGATGGGGTGGGGTGAGATGGGTGTTTAGGGCGGAGTAGGACTGAGGAAGAGAAGGGTAGGTCAAGATGACACTTAAAACACACCTTCCCCTTGGAGACTTACCATGATGTAAACGTTTATGTATGTGTGTGTTTTTTGTATGTGTGAGCAGGGCTCAGGGAGTCTGAGCTATGAACTAATCAACAGTCCAATCCTGGTACGCTGCTACGCACCAAGTTCTGCTCCTTTGAGACAGACGGAGAGGAACACACACATAAGTGTTTGTGTGAAGAAAGATCAACTCTCTACAGGGAACACGTTGAAACTAATCTGATCGTCTTCCAAAGGCACTTGAGCTTTTAATAGTGTGTAAATAAACACTCATTCTGAGGATTCTGTTTTATATATTTTTACCAAAGGTTTCTTTACTATCAAGACTAATACTTAGAGTTGTGAACAACAGACCTGTGCATTAGACTAAGGCAGGGGAATAACTTTGTTGCCTTGGTTGCCCTCGACACCTTCATCTGCAGGTGACTGACTGACTGCTTGTGACAGTTACTGAGGGATTGAACCAGAAAAGCCTCTTACCCAGTCTCTCTCTCTCTCTCTCTCTCTCTCTCTCTCTCTCTCTCTCTCTCTCTTTCTCTTTCTCTCTCTCTCAAACCCTGTGGAGGAAGCACACATACACCCCCATACACAAACACACACATACACACACACTCATTATCAACAATAACAGACTCAAAACACCATGTTACTTCATGAACAATCAAAAAGATGACAAATGTGTTTATTTAAGAAATTATACACATGATTTGTAGTCACATATATAGTACAGCTACAGTGTGTTGCCTCACAGCAAGAAGGTTCTTGGTTTGAATACTTTGTAGTGAGGCTTCCTCCCACAGTCCAAAGATATACACTTTGGGGTTAGGTTAAAGGGAGACACTAAATTGACCGTAGGTGTGAACATGGGCATGGATGGTTGTTGGTACACATATGCTTCAGTTTATTCCACCTGAGAGAAAAGAAAAGAAAATTAAAAACTTTTATTAATTTACACCATGTTTGAATGCTTTAAAAAAAGGAGCGTACCTTACTGAGCCTCTCGACTAGTTTGGGCTGATGTCTTTTGAGGACAGCATAGAAGGAGGCTTTGACGGTTACCCCTCCTGAACGAAGCGTCTTCTGAAAAAGCACTCTCATCTTCTCCTGGCTCGTCTGTTTAGATTCGATCACTGAGTAAGTTTCACTGTGGACCATGTCCCCGAGCTCGTCTACGATAGCCATAACTTCAGAAACGTCTTGAATTAACACCGCCCTGTTGTCGTCAATGAACTTTGCTATTTGAAAATGAAAGAGATTAAAAACATGCACATAAAGAGTTTTTTATTAAATCACCAATGGGACTTTTCATAAATGTCAGTGTCTCATTTATTTGATTCTGCTCAACAAAAAAGAACTTTAATCTATTTCCATTTTCACTGAGAAAAAATATTCACCTTGATCCTCATCACTCAATGTTTTTTCAGAATCACTGACAGACTCCTGTTGGCAAAAGTAGAAACTGATTTTAGTCTATACTTTGTAAGTACCCCATGATGTAACCAATACATGCACTGTATGAGAAAAGTTAAAAGAAAACAGATAGTTTAAACATTTTTACTGCAAATCTTTATCTAACTTATTTTGTTGATTGAGATCAGCAACTTGATCTCAATGATTACATTTATTTGACATACCTGTGTTGAAGTGTTTTTAGTTGTTGTAACTCTGACAGCATCCTTATAATCATGTGACTTTGACCTTTCTGAAAAAGAAGAGAAAGAAACATCTGCTTCTTTTATTATGGAAAGTAAAGAATCAATAATCAGATTCAATTTAACAGATTCATTTACCTGATGTCTGAGGAGAAAAACTGAGCGGCACTCTTATGTTTGAATATTGATTACTGGTATGTGACTCCTAAAACAGGAGGTAAATATAAGAGAAAGAAATAAACTAATTAGACATTTTTCATTATGAATCGGCACTTTATTTCATTCATATCATTTATATATACTATGATAAAATGAGTTTTACCAGTCTTGTCAATACATGATGAACTGCACCATGAATTTCCTTCTTGTGCTTTGAGAAACCCTCCTCAGTGACTTCAAGGCACTCTGAAACATAAATCGAGTTTTGTGTTGGGAGATAAAAGGTTTGTAAATCATCTGTGTGAATGAACAGTGGTTTCACAAATGATGCAGCAGTAAGCAATAGCCGACAAAACGCCCTCGAGCCCATTCGATTCAAGATTATAGCTTTAGTTGTACTGAAGTCGGGACATTACCCTGAAATTTTCAGTCATTGGACATTGTTGTGAACTTTTCCAAACAGCCCCCTGTGTAAAATATCACCATTTTAACACGTGATGGATGCAAAAGACCATGATGTCAGCTTGGACAGTAAAATTTATACGTCATGCCTGAATGTCCCAGACTTTTTCATGTTGTTGTGAAAGTGTCTGACCGAGAAAATCTCCTGCTGTGTCCTTTATATATGAAAGACAAACAGCGGACACAGATATTTTCCAGAGTTCAAATTTGAAAACTTTAGAGTAGCAAAGTGATGGTCAAAGTGATCGATAACTGAGACACACCTTTAAAAGTAGGCCTCTTGGCAGGATTCTCGTCCCAGCACATCTTCATGAGGTCAACCAGCTCCTCTAACCCTTCTACCTCCCTCTGGTTGATTTTCTCACAGGGAGGTCTGTCCCCTTCAGGGATCCTCAGTGCAACAAGGCTGTGACCAGCCACTGTAGTACATGTGATATAATGAAAATATACATTATAACACACAAACACAACTGATCATGTGTACATATGTGAGTATTTAACATTCACTATCCTTAGTATATCTGTAAAGTGATTTTTAAGGAAACAGTGGTAATCAAGTAAATGTAAGAAAAATGGCTTGGTGTCATTTTGCTAAATAAAAGATCTGAAGCTTAAATTTGAAAATAAACAAAGAGGTGGACATTTTTAAGACAATAAAAGAAATTGTACATACTTTGATATGGCTCTCTCCCAGTAACAATAGTCCAGAGAAGGATGCCATAGCTGACACAGAAAGAGACTTAAAAGTGAATATCCAAACAGTATTACGATTTAAAACGTTTTTTCTCTTAAATGTTTACCTGTATCTGTCGAAAGCACGGACAGGTTCATATGATGCATCAAAAGCCTCAGGAGGCATGTACTTGTACGTGCCTCCGACCTCTCCTGTCATTTTCTCGTTGCTGTTCAAAGCACTGGTGGAAACCCTGCATAGACCAAAGTCTGCGAGCTACTGAGCAACAAGGGACATGTTCAACTATTAAATAAGCTTTACATTGAATAAAAACCCAAGAGTTTAGGTTGATATGCTCTACCTTGGCGTTCAGGTCGTCATCCAGCAGTACATTACTTGGTTTCAAGTCTTGGTGCATAAGGTTCCTTGAATGGAGGAAGTTCATGCCGAGAGCCACTTGATGGGCCAAGCGGAAGGTCAGGGGCCACGGTGGAGGACCACACAGAACCACCAGCAGATCCTGAACTGATCCACTGCTCATGAGCTCCATAACTATTCCCTTTTGCATGGAGATACCTCCAAATGGTGGATTTCCCTCATAGATTCCATAAACCCTCAGCACAAACTCACATGAAGCCTTATCCATATGATCAACTTCTTCTGATAGGGCTTTCTCCTTTGGCATGAGGGCACTGGAAGAATACCTTATTATGGAAGGAGTAGAGAGAGATCAGCTTGAACTTTAACATGTATGGATGTGCACACATTAATCTTTCAAAATATTTATAAAAAGATATTAAATAAATTCACCCAACACCGTCTCGAAGCAGCTTAATGGCCACATCAAAGCCCCAGTCCTTGTGCCTGGCTTTATAGACATGACCAAACCCCCCAGAGCCAACTAACTCCCATTTCTCCAAGCTGTCACTTCCAACCCACTCAGCCGTGTGGCTCAGCAGCGCCATCTTCTGCTAAGAAAACAGACCTAAAAAAAAAAAAAAAAAAAAAAAAAAAAAAAAAAAAAAAAAAAAAAAAAAAAAAAAAAAAAAAAAAAAAAAAAAAAAAAATAAGGAATGAAACATGAGGAGCGGAGAAACGTTCATGTATGATGAGGTCATTCATTCAATCTCAGGTTGTTAATTAAAATGAAGCTATCATGGTTTATTTGCTGTAACTCTCCTAGGATGTTAGTGATCTGATTGGTTTAATGTTAGGGTTGATCTGTTATCTCAAATGTGTCCTTCTCTGGAGCTGGTTAGAAGTTTAGCATACATCACCATCAGCAGCTAAGCTTGTTGGATTTTGAATTTTGGACAGCAAACCTCTAAAATTGGAACCTTACTTAAATTATGTTCACGTTCATATCCACAAGCTCACGTGACAAATATTTGAAAAACCTTGTTTGGTATCTGCTCCTGTATTCTGAACATTGTCCCTTTTGTGTAAACCAGAACAATAGTACACATTGATGGCTTATACTCACCGTATATCCCTTAATTTGTTGTTCACCTAAATATCCAAGATGTAGGGCTTTGTCTAACCCAAGCTCTGACAGAACAAGACGGTACAAGCTGCAGTTTCCTGTCACTGCTCGTTAAGGGCAGGGTTTAAAATGTTCCGTGGAGAAAGCAAACGAACTGCGGGTGTTGGAAATAGCGTGTGTCACATTTCCTGTTGGCACAGAGTCATTTGTTATTTGTATAAGGAAGAATACATTCAACTGAGCAGAAAAAAGGGAATTAAAATACTTCCACCAAAGGAGCTTGGTTACAATTGTCAACAAATAAAATAATAATGTTAAAATGATTCTTGCACAGTTACAACAGCATTGTTGTTAAAACATTTTTTACTTCTTGGTGTCATAACAAAACAGGAAAGAGGAAGTTTCCTTTTTTATATCTGCTACAAGAAAGAGTGCTGGTGTCATTTGACATTCGAAATCTGTTTATCTCTCGGTGTCATCTAGGAATGTCTGCAGTGACTGAGAAAGCATCTTAACATTTCAAACCTATTACAACCAACAGCTGTGTTCTGTGTAAAGTGAGTGATGATGTCATGATTAGAGAGTAAAGTCAATGTTAGTGAAGCCAAATCATCTTGGTTGCCCCCTTGTGGCTGGCTGCAATATGGGTCATAAACCCCACCTCCTCCATGTTAGTAGATGAGACATGGATCAAACTAAAAAGGTAGGTTAATTATTTGATGCTTTAAAAAATTACTTAAAGCTGAGACATCGCTACTGCGCAGTATAGAACATAGTATATATAGAATATACTGGATATATCCCAGGTGGTTCCACGTGAGATGTATTTAATGACTATATCTCTACCATCCAACATGTCACGTGAATGTTTAAGCTGTCAGCAGGAAATTCTCTTGCAGTTTCGCTTCTCTCTTCTCATCCCCCGAAAACTCCCCTGTGCGCATGCGTCAGAAGATGAGGAAACAGAGCGTGGAGAGAGGGGAAAAAAGTGAAGGGAGAAAAAGAGAAGTGTTTGTGTGTGTGTGTGTG